TTTAACTCAGAAAAGCCAGACATGTCCGGGGGAATCCGGACGAATGGTAACCCTAGGTTTGAGGGAACAGGTTTGTGCCCCCTCCCCGCTTTTTAGTTCCCTATGTCTTCCCTTCCTTCTGATGTTCACCCAACTTTGCTTTGCTAGGGACTTTCACTAAGTAGGATGGGAAGCCCTAGAAGTTAATGCTGACCTAATCAGTAAAAAAGAACAGGAGTACTTGTGGCACCTTAGAGACTAACAAATTTATTTAAGCATAAGCTACAGACGTTTTCTGGTGGCTGATCATGCGTTCTCTGTACACCCAACACTTCTGTTGATTCCCAAAGATTTGAAAGGAATGCAAGATCAGACCCTTGGAGTGTTTGTGAGCGAGAGCCTGTGAACTCTCTTGGTGGTCTATAAATCTGACAGTCTTTGAAGAAACTTTCAGTTACAGTCACAAACACAAAATAAATGTGTTAGTCTCTAAAGTGCCACAAGTACGCCTGTTCTTTTTGTGGATACAGACTAACGCTGCTGCTACTCTGAGACCTAATCAGTGTTCATTTGTGCCAGGATGTCCCAAGGGATTAGAAAGCAGCCATCCTTTGCTTTTCCTAAAGTTTGCATTGTTATGGAATTCTGTTAAGGTGCATCTATGCTACAGGAATCAGTTATAACTAGATAACGGGACAATCATTCCTAAACTAGATCTGCAGATGGGGTTGTATGTTGTAGTGTATACATGCCTAGAAGTATCACCTGAACTGGATCTATGTGATTAGCTTTGAATGTAGGCCTTTTCCCTCCCTAATATATTTTATTTTAATTTTGGGAGGGGAGTGGTGGGGAAACGGGGGGAATAGCTGGGATAATTGAAAAAGCATTTTAGAAATAAAAAAAAATACAAGATTACTTTTAAGGAAAGATAGCTGCAAGATAGTAATTAACTATTTTAAATTTACAGCTGTGCAGAAAAGCATTGGTCCCAGCAATAATATTATGCAAATTAAAATGGCATCTTAGGGTAGCCTGATTTGCATTTGCAGATGTTCGGGTTTATATACTTTCTCAATGAAAAAAATTAATGTTAATCTGTATTCAGGTGATATCTTGAAATGCTTTATCCTAGAGCAGGCAATCAAGAGTGGCAAGCAGGAATAGTGCCAGTGTTTGGAGAAAGATAGTCCCTTCAAAATATAGGACATCTGGCTGCAATAAGCTTAATTTCTTCATAAATTCATTTGGATTTTAGAGCAATTATAATTTGGTTTCCCTCTCCTAATTCAGACTATGTCACTCTAGGAAGATGGCATTTTCTTTTAGGCAACAACTGCATTTCACTAATCAGCCAAAGGAAAGGTAAATGAAGCACGTGAGTACATTTTCATCCTTGGCATACTCAAATAAGATCCTCAACTATGTAGCCAATTGGTGTTGGTTGATTTCTATTTCTATTTTATTTATTTTTAGCAGTTTAGCTGGTGATGTTGATATTTTACAGCAGGTGTGCAGTCCATGAATGAATACCAATATTTGTTAGGAACTCAAGTTAAGGTTTCTTTTCCTTTATCCTTCCTTCATTTTCTGCCCCACTTTCTACAGTTTATTTTTTAATTTTATTCTTGTAAACTAAAAACACTACCATTCTGCTGCTTTATTCCTATAATGTGCTAAGGTGACATTTCTCAAAGCTTCCTATCCTGAGTGATTGAGACAATCCACCTTGCTATATTCAGCAGTGACAATTCAACATAGCAAAGCAGTAAGGGGCCAATTGATACATTGTGCCAAAGTGAGAAATTGTCCACTGTACTGGATGATTCACTACAACCGGCAGAAATGCATGCAATATATAGCAATTGGAACTATGCTTTAGGGGAAACATTACTTGCTATACATTATCTACATATACGGTCACACTGAGGCTTAGCTATGCATATTCAACTCTGATTTCACTGCAACTTGAGACGTAATATGTCCTGCAGAAAATAAGCACGTGGGACATTACCTGGTGCTGAGGGAGGGGATTATGAAAAAATCATTGGTTTCTAAATTTCTAGTTGTAACTTTGGTTTCTGACTCATGCTACCCACAGTGCTGCCAACTCTGGTAATATTATTGTGAGAGCCATAATACGTAGATTTTTTTCTTAAGGCCCCAGCTCCTGGACTCATATGATTATGTGAGAATCTCAGATTTCATATTTTTAAAAGGTAAGTTTCTAACCCACACGGTAGCAGAGAACCCCAAGGCTCAAACACCAGAAGGCAAATAAAAGGAAACCAGCAGTATTTTTTTAAAACTGCAGGATTTTTAAGGTACTCTTTTTTATTTTGGGGGCCTGACTCATGGTTTTTGAATGCGTGGGGTTGGCAATACTGTTAACTAATGATGAACTCATCATGTCTCTGTGCCTTTCTGCAATATGTTATAAGGGTGCCCAAAGATTTAAGTTAATAACCCTGCATTAAAAATAGGATTGTTACTATTATTAGAAAATCTTAAAAATCAGATTATTACTATAACGGCTTATCTACAGCACCTTTTAGTTTACTGCAAGCTGGGGTGTAAATCTACCCCTGACTAGCCTGCACACTCTCACTGCTGTTTTGATACCAGAGTTTAGGCTATTACTCTAAAGTACAAATAAAGAGATGATTCTGGCATGTCACACTACATTGTGGCAACAGAGACTCATCGCACAAACAGGCTAGGATAGGAGGGGACTGAAAGAGCCAGAGACACACATACATGGGACAGCCAGGCACATACACACAGAGGGGCAGGCAGATGCAGATACACTCAGGGCCATAGGCGCTGACTTTGTGGTGCTCTGAGGCTCAAGCACCCATCGAAAAAAAATTAGGCGGTGCTCAGCACCTGCAGGGCCAGATTAAACTTTTGTGGGCCCCAGCACCCGAACTGTGGCCCCACCCCCACTTGGCCTCTTCCCCCTACCCTCCCGAGGCCATGGCCCCGCTCAGCCTCTTCCCCGCTGAGACCATACCCACCATTTGCACAGGGGAGGGGAGTGGACAGGAGCACCCACTGGCAAAAACGAAAGTCAGTGCCTGTGCTCAGGGCAGGCAGGCAGATACACACATGCAGACACACACACACACATTGTCCCTTACACGTGTGCAGGCAGCCACAGCCGCACAGGGGCAGACAGACTGGCAGGTGCACATTCACACCTGGGGCAGGTAGAAGCAGACAATCACAGGGACAGGCAGGCAGGCACACAAGGCCACACACACACAGGGCAGGTGGGTGTGCATATGTGCACAAACACACAGACAGGTGGGCACACACACACAAGGGCAGGCAGGCGTGCACACATACACGTAGTAGGGTTGCCAACTTTCTAATCGCACAAAACCTGCCCCACTCCATCCCCCCGACTCTGTCGCTCACTCTCCCACACCCTCACTCACTTTCACGGGGCTGGGGCAGGAGGTTGGGATGAGGGGGGGAGGGGGGAGGGCTCCAGCTGGGGGTGTGGGCTCTGGGGTGGGGCCAGAAATGAGGGGTTCAGGGTGCAGGAGCGGGCTCTGGGATGAGGCAGGGAGCTGCAGTGCGGAAGGAGGTGAAGGCTCCGGCTGGTGGTGTGGGCTCTGGGGTGGGGCTGGAGATTAGGGGTTTGGGGTTCAGGAGGGGGCTCCAGGCTGGGGGTTAGGGTGCAGGAGGGTGTGCGGGCTCTGGGGTGGGGCCAGAGACAAGGGGTTTGGGGTGCAGAAGGGGGCTCAGGGCTGGGGTAGGGGGTTGAAGTGCAGGAGGGGATGCAGGGTGCAGGTTCCAGGAGAGGGTTTGGGTGTGAGAGGGGACTCAGGGCTGGGGCAGAGGGTTGGGATGTGAGGGCTCTGGTTGGGGATGCAGGCTCTGGTGTGGGACCAGGGATGAGGGGCTTGGGGTACAGACTCTTGGAGGGAGTTAGGATGTGGAAGGGCGTTCCGACCTGGGGTTGGAGAGCTGGAGGGGGTTTGGAGTACGGGCTCCAGCTAGGCGGCAATTACTTCTGATGGCTCCCTGCCTGCCCTAGTTCCGCACAGCTCCCTGAAGGCTCCTCCTAGGTGGACGGGCCAGGGGGCTCTGTGCGCTGCCTGCGCCAGCAGGTGCCACCCCACATTGGCCAATGGGAGTTGCGGAGCCGGCACTGGGGGGCGGGGCAGTGCGTGGAGCTTCCCTGATTGCCCCTCTGCGTAGGGGCTGCAGGGAAATGCCAGCCGCTTCCGGGAGCCGCGCAGAGCCAGGGCAGGCAGGGAGCCTGCCTTAGTCCCACTGCGCCACCGACCGTACTTTTAACGGCCCAGTCAGTGGTGCTGACCAGAGCTGCCAGGGTCCCCTTTTGACCAGGCATTCCAGGCAAAAACTGGACACCTGGCAACCCTAATACACAGGCACACACACACATGGGGCAGTCAGGCACACCCGTGGGGTGGGCAGGCACACCCATGGGTGGACAGATGTATACATACACAAACACAGGGGCAGGCAGGTGCATACACCCATGCACACCATACCCACACAGGGGCAGACGCGTGCAGACGCACATAGGGACAGGCAGAAACATACATAGGAATAGGCAGACACATAGATGGGTGCCTGTGGGTGCGCGCGCGCGCACACACACACACACAAGTGAGGGCTCATACATGGGCAGGTGGGCATATGCACAAGGGTGCTGGAACAATTTGTATAGTGGGGCTACTGAGAGCCATTGAACCAAACTGTAAACCCTGTATATAATGGAAACCACTCCAGGCCAGGGGGTGCAGCAGCACCCCTAGTTCCAGCACCTATGCATCTGCATGCCTACAACAGGCAGACGGTCAATCACACCTGGCAGCGGGCGGGGACCTGCAAACATAGGGGGGTAGGTGAACGCACACACTCAGACAGGAGCAGGCGCGCGCGCGCGCAATCACACACGGTTCGGGCGCGGGCGCGCCCATACACACATTGGGCGGGTCCAGCGAAGGAGGCGGGGCTAGGGAGTAGGAGGCTGGTCCAGTCCCGCTCCTCCTGTTGCCATGGCAGCCTGGCTACGGAAGTGCTCTGCGGCGCTTCACTCCAGCCGCAGGTCCGCAGCGAGCCGGGCCGCGGGGAGCGGCTCCCTCCGTGCAGCTGAAGATGGCGGACGGCGGGGAAGCAGCGGGCCAGCAGGAAGAGGCGGCGGTTGGCGGGCCGCGGCGGGACGAAGGGCCCCGGGCTAATGCCCGGCCACCCACGGCCCGGGACTTACAGGTGCGGAAGGGCCGGGACGATACTTGGGAATGATAAACGAGAGCCCGGCGGCGCCTCCCCGACAGGTGCCGTCCCGTCCCGTCCCGGCGGCTGCGGTGCTCCGGGCTGCTGGGCGAGGGCTGGATCGGGCGGGGGAGGCTGGCCTGGCCAAGCCCAGGCTCTGCGGTTAGAGGCGCCGCCCGGCGGGCTGTATTTCCCGGCGGAGCGGGGCACAGGGAGCTGAGCGCTGGCGGGGGGCTGCTGCCTGCCCTTTCCATGCACACACCTGGCACCCTGCCCCTGGGCCATCCCCCGCCGTGCTGCTCCCCACGGGGCCGTAACCTGCCACGTGGTGTGGAGTGATCCGCCAGGCGGAGGCAGGTGGCTGGCTTTGTGTCACACCCCTTCTCTCACAAGACCCATATTTTTCAGGACTTAATAGCCAGGCCCGATGAGGCTGCCAGCTCTTGTTTGCAAGGCCCGAATAAAGCTACTTAATGCAAAAACCCTCTTGTGCCGTTGAGCCTGGCTTTCAAACACTAGAGCAGAGGTTCCCAAACTTGGTTTGCAGCTCGTTCAGGGTAAGCCCCTGGTGGGCCGCCAGACTTTTGTTTACCTGAGTGTCCGCAGGTAGGGCCGCTCGCAGCTCCCAGCGGCCGCAGTTTGCCTGGGAACCCCTGCACTAGAGCAATGGAGAGGTGCCTCAGCCTGCAGAGAGTTTGGCTCCCATTGTTAGCTTCCTGCAAAGAAATGATATAAAATCTCTGCTGTAACCATTTCTTTATCAGCATTCATTTTCCCACCAGCTTTAAAACTATGAAATGCTTCCAAATAAAACTCTTTAAAACCATGTCTATGCTTGCCCATGCTTGCAGCAGCATGTAGGGTATGTGTAGCTAGGGGTCCTTGTGCTGGGGGTGCGCCAACAACCCCTGGCTTGAAGCGGTTTTCATCATATACAGGGTATACAGTTTTGTTCAATGGCTTTCAGCACCCCCACTATAAAAATTGTTCCAATACCATTGTGTGTAGCTACATGCTGCAGTGAAGGGCAGGTTGTGTCCACACTCACTGTGGTGTTTAGCTACATGTGGAAGTGAAAGTCTCCAGCGGAGAGCTGCTGGCATGTAAAGAGCTGTGCGGAGTATATACTCTAGCGTTCAGGCATGTAGGGCCTTCTGCTGTACTCAACCATGCCTCATTGTCTACACTGCTATTTTATACCCATGCTAATTGGGCATTCTGTGTCTACTCTACACAATACCTAAGCGTAGACCTACCCTTAGCTATTACTTAAGTAAAAGAAATGTGAAACTCTAGGCAGTGTTACTGTTCTTGTTTAAATTACACATAAGGCCAATACATTGCTGACCAGTCCTGACCATTTTTCCTTTTTACTTACTAATATTAAGTTTGCACATTAATTATTGTTGATAAAGTCTATGAGTCTATTGAGACTAACATTTTTAACTGAAGCATACAGTAGTTACATTCATCTTCAGGTTTCCAAACTGTTGAAGATCGGACTTGTAGTTAAGCAGGCTTTTTGAGTAGATGGTCTTTCATGGTGTTAAATTTATCTAAAATAAAAGTTCCCTTTTTAACTAGCACAAATCTGTAGAATGCATATTAAGTTTGAGACACTGGATGTATTTTAAAAGTTCTATTGCAATCTCACTACTCTGTATGATTTTCTTAATAGCCCTCAGTTCTTCAACTAGTTTACTTTCCTGGATAATGAGCGTCTCATCACAATACTTATTACAGTCTTAAATACTGTGATTCTAAAACAGTTTGTCTTGCAGAGGGCTCTCTTTATTTGAATGTTTGTTGTTTGTAAGCCAACCCATAGTAAATTGTAGCCCTGCAGCACTATGTGGTGAAATGTTAATATCACTCCAGAGAAAAGCAGAATGAAATTTTAGAACTCTGTTTTTGAGACAAAAATTTTAATATTTACAAAAACTAAGTACATTGTTAAAGACAATAGAAATCAAGCTACCAAAAATGTCATATTTGGTATCCCTTCGCATACTGTTCTTAAAGCTGAATCTGCCAGAGAAATGGCAGCATATAGGGCTATCCTTGGGAAAAGCCTTTCTAATACACGTTATTATGCTTGGGTGTAAGCCTTTAAGCACTTGCTGAAGTCAGTGTTAAACACATGCTTAAGTGCTTTGCTGAATTGGGATCTTAATATTAGTACATTCTGTCATGGTTGTAAACATGTTATATGGGAACTGAAAAATATAAATTAAAAGCTATTACTGTTGTGTTCTCTAACAACCTTATTGAAAGGCATATTGTTTCACATAAACACAGAATAGCTTTGTCTTAACCTTTTACAAGTAATAGGAGTGCTTTCTATGTATTCTGAACAGATGCTTCTGTATAAAAGTCTTGTCATTCTTAATGAGGTAATTCAGACTTGTGTTTAATATGTAAATAAATACATGTGTATTTATTTCAGAGTACAGGTATCCAGACAAATATTTATATGAGTATCTGAATAATGTCACTCATGTTTCTAAATCAATAAGGAACCTAGGCTTCTAAAACAATGCATACAATGTTTATTCTCTTGTTCTTTGTATAGTTTATATCTCTAGTCTTATAGATTTTCTAAAAAGTCTGGTATTGTATGTAGTTGGCTTTGGCTGGGTTATATGAAGATGAAGTTAAAGGCAAGTTATCCCATTCTGACAGACCACCAGCTACAGTGGTCGGTAACCCAAGAGTACCAGTTCAGAGGTAAGAAGTGTTTTGTACATTAGGATTAGTAATTTATTTGACATCTATAATATCTGTTTCAGTTTACTAATCCTGCTTTTGTCACAACATTCAGAAATTTGATCTCAAAGAGGTATTATATTCCAATGCTTGTTTAAAAAGCTATAACAACACAGAAGAGTAAAGTGCGGGACCCTATAATACTTTGCTTCCTTAGGAAGTGTTTGTAGCATATATTTATTTATCGAGCAGTCTTCATTCTGCAACTGTTCCCAACCACTTTATGTTTCTGTTAGATGCTGGCAAAAGGCTTAAAGTTAAATGCAGAAGTAGTTATGCTGTCACAGATTTGGACGTATGACCTGTATTCTTTTGGGGGGAACAACTGTTAGGATCAGGAGCAATTCACATGGAAGGCTATGCATAAGTGCCTCTTCTGGGTCAGGAAACCACAGTGCTCATGTCAACATGAGGACTATGATCCATGACTGTTAAGCCCTATCCAAAATTATCCCTCAGCAGCATCTACCATAGGAGAATTGGCAAATATCCTCTAAGGTTCTTCATGGGAACAAAGAACTTGGGTGGACAACCTCTGTGTGGTAGAGGAATTTAATATATTTTTCTCTGTTTTTTTCTGGCATGTTTAGGTGCATGTGACCAACAAGAATTGCTTTAAGTACTTAGGGTTCACATAACAGAATATATGGAGACTCATTATAGCATTCTCAAATAAATTTTAAAAAAATCATGCCAAGTTTAAATTAATGAAATACAAAAAAACTGAACAGTAAGATGTGTTTAGGTTTAAAAAAAAAAAAACAATCTATATGTGGCAAGTGACTGGGACATGATAAACCAAACACAAGGCTTGGGTGTCTTTCTAAAAAGACCCCAGCCACACAGATGTGTCAATGTGAATCTCATTTTTTTTTAAATGGGTATATACCAGCGGACATCTCCATGACTGGTGACAAACCTACAGTCCATTTGTGCACATGGATCTCTGGAAAGATGAAATTCAGCCCAAGGCTGGATACTTGGGGGACAATAATAATTGTTTCTGGTTGAGATCACCAATCTACAGATATCACTATTAAAAAGCTGCTTGCCAATACATACCACAAAGTTATTATAGTTACTTCCTATTCCATGTAGGGAATAGGTTGGTACTGAATCTTGAATACTTCAGAATGGTATATGTTGGCAAACTCTAGCTCTTTATTGGCAATCATATACCATGACTCAGATGAATCTCTTTTGGAAAGAAAAGATGCCCCCTTAACACAATGTTAAATAATTCCTAATTTGGCTAGATTGTAGTCTACATCAGTGTTTCTCAAACTGGGGCCGCTGCTTGTGCAGGGAAAGCCCCTGGCGGGCCAGGCTGGTTTGTTTACCTGCCCCGTCCAGAGGTCCGGCCGATCGCGGCTCCCACTGGCTGCGGTTCGCCGCTGGAAGCGGCATGGGCCGAGGGACGTACTGGCTGCTCTTCCCACAGCTCCCATTGTCCTGCAGCGGTGAACCAGCCAGTGGGAGCCGCGATCAGCTGGACCTGTGGATGGGGCAGGTAAACAAACCAGCCCGGCCTGCCAGGGGCTTTCCCTACACGAGCGGCAGCCCCTGTTTGAGAAACACTGGTCTACATCGATTGTCAAAGTTCCATTGAAGTCAGTGGAGCTATGGCAGTGTGCACCAGTGGTGGACTATCCCATGGATGTGAAGCTAGTACAGTGGTTCTGATTCCCTATTTCAAAGTATCTGTTAAATTCATTCTAAATGTTTACTGTAAACCTTTGCAGTGTTGGCTTTAAGAATATTTTTGAATCCATGTAATAAACAGAAAGGAATAGGGGAAACTACTGCTTGTAAGCTCTTTGGGAGCAGTGACTGTCTTTTTGGTCTGTGTACTGCACCTATCACAATGGGGTCCGGGTTCATGACTGGGGCTCCTAGCACTTTGGTAATATAAATAAATAATAATGATGCTGGTTGGTCCCATTGTAGTTCATGTACTACAAAGCCAGTTTTCAAATATAATTGAAGGTTAAGGGCCAGATTCTGCAACCCTTATTCACATTGAATGTTACCTACTGATGTTAGTGAGGCCACTTGTGGAGTAAATTGTCATTCAGCATGCATAAGGGCATTGCTGTATGGCCCTAAATGAGCTGCCCTCCATTCTTTCCTTGCTACATGGTGAATATTTGGAACTATGTGGCCAAAAGAACATATGCTGTTACAGTAGGTCAGCAATTTAGAATTATTTTATAAAATACATAAACAGTTAGCCTGAATGGCTCTTGGAGCCCATCAGGTCAGAACTTTTGAGAGTACCTTATTTTCGCTTCTTTTTTTTTTTGTTTTAAGTATATAAAAAACTAACCATTTTACATAGTCATAAGTGTGAAGTGCTTGTTAAAGTGGATATATTATGCAGGATATATATCAGTAATGTTTTTAATAAAACTGAATTTTTTAAAATATTTGTTGGCAGTCTAAAAATTGACTCCTTCAGAAGCTTGAGAAAACCAGAAAGAAGCATGAGTGATGACAAAGAAAACCAAAGGTACTGTAAAAACAGAAGCTTATTTATCTATAACAATTATGAATAGAATATTAATCTAGATTTTATTTTTTTTCATTCATACATTTTTTCCCTTTCTTCTTTCTTCATAATGGTGTTGATCTTAGTCTTTGCTCTAAGTGGTAACATAAGGGCTGTTGTGTGACTCATTAGAGGGAAATGGTGACATGAAGTATGGAGGATAGCCTTTCCTATTTAAAATAAATGCTTTGTCCAATTTTCAAACTATAATCTGAATCTTTCTGAACTGTAAGCTTTCATTCTTAATCTCCTTGGTTTTACATGTAATATTTATTTTAACATACCTCTGCCCCCATAAAATATTGCTCTTGATAATCCATAATGCTCAGGCCAAATTTAGGAAAATAAATTTTAAAATTAAATCAAATTTATATTTACAAAATATGTAACATAATTATATATTTCTTAGATTTTATTTCTGGACTGAAATGAATATGAGATAGAGGTATTAAAATGTGCTAGTAACTCTTCCAAATATGCTTATTTTTTACCTCAGCATTACTGTCCATTATATTTGGTAAGCAACTCTAGCACCTTTTATTTAAATCGTTTTTGGGTCATAGTCAGATTTACACAGGTGCATACAGGGCCAGCTCCAGGCGCCAGCTAAGGAAGCAGGTGCTTGGGACAGCCAATACAAAGGGGTGGCACTCTGTCCGCTATTGGGGTGGCCCATTCGGGTCTTCGGCGGTGAGTCCCTCAGTCCCTCTTTCTCTTTGAGCTGCCGCCGAAGTGCCATCGTTTTTTTGTTTTGTTTTGTTTTTTCCGCCGCTTTGGGCTGCAGAAAACCTGGATCCAGCCCTGGGTGCATATTGAGTAATTTTCCTCTAGAATAATCTAACTCAAATCTTTTCTAATGAATCTTTTCCCCTCTTCTCTGTGTTTGTGTTCTTGTTTCACAGCTTAACTTTGTTGGATACAAATCGGACATCAGGAATAGTAACATACAAAAGCCAGTAGGAGAACACGTCCATCTCCCTGGACATTCTATAATAGATTTAAAAGTAGCCATACTTGAACAAAAAAACTTCAAAAACAGACTTCAAAAAGAAACTGCAGAACTAAAATTCATTTGCAAATTTAACACCATTAATTTGGGCTTGAACAGGGACTGGGAGTGGCTGGCTCACTACAAAAGCAACTTTCCCTCTCCTGACATTGACACCTCCTCATCAATTATTGGGAGTGGACTACATCCACCCTGATTGGCCCTGTCAACACTGGTTCTCCACTTGTTAGGTAACTCCCTTCTCTTCATGTGTCAGTATAATAATGCCTGCATCTGTAATTTTCACTCCATGCATCTGAAGAAGTGGGTTTTTTACCCATGAAAGCTTATGCCCAAATAAATCTGTTAGTCTTTAAGGTGCCACCGGACTCCTCGTTGTTTTTGTGGATACAGACTAACATGGCTACCCCGTGATATTTGTGTTCCTTTGTTACCTTCATTTGTGTGAATCTTGTATTTAATATGAAAGGTAACACTTAATCCTTAAACTGCTAGCAATAAGTTAAAGTTAGAACAATCACCTCCGCTTCATCACATCACCCTTAGTTTATAGACATCAGTGTTGAGATAGCAGAATCAGTTTTATTCTAGTAAGCAGCAGCAGATTGACTTGTTTTATCCTGAATCAACTCACCTTGCCTCCTATACTTAAATAGTATACCCAAGGAGAATCGGAAGCATTCAGCATTTTATTGGCTGTTTAAAATCAAATCAAATAGAACATAAATCAAAGATGCTACAGCTTGGCAGTATGTCATATCTATCTATCTAAATTTGGATAGCATCCATCACCATGGTGTCTAAACATACATTAGCCACTAGCACTTCTAGTCTCTTAATCTTACTCTCCGACATGTATATAACTTCTGATTACAGATAATAAAACTACTAAATAATACACTCTATGAAATGGATCTCATGCAATGGCTAGAAATTAGTCTAGTTTGAAAATAAGCTAGATGTTTACTACTGTTTGTTTTATTCAATGGTTTTCTCTGAAGTTACTGCAAACTCTAAAGTGCCTCAGAATATAAATTAATTGTAGTTAAAAAGAACTAATATTGTTAGAAATGAGACCATAATAGACCATTAAGCCTAAGATCTCACTTTGGTGCTATTTTTAGTTGTTCTCCCAAATAGTTGTACGTTAATTCTACAAAGGCAGTGTTAATTGTGCATCTGATTTTCCAATGCATCTGCATTTGATCAGACCAGCCATAGTCTCATGCACAGAACCTCCCAGTGGAGATTATTCTTTGGAATCCACACAAGATAAGGCATGTAAAGTCACAGCTATGTCGGGACTGTGTTCATATGACCATGGTTCCTAACCTCTAGGAACCTCTATACCTTTGTAGGTCCACTACTGTAACAATTCTTTTAGTAGTGCTTCTTTGTGTATTGGGAAAACCAGAACTGGGTGGAATGCTTCTGTTATCAAAGTGAAGAGGTTTTGTGCCAGAATTTGGCTCCATTTGTTTACTGAGCTTTTTTATTGAAAAATGGGTGTCCATCAATTACTTCAGAAGGATCATCACTGATGAACATTATTGTTTAAAGATTTTACTCAGGTGACTCAGAATATAGCGGACTACAGATTGTTGGGCCTTCTAATAAGAATCCCAGTAAAATTGTTGGTGAACTTTTCAAAGAGGCGAAAGAACATGGGGCAGTTCCACTGGATGAAGCCGCAAGAGCCTCAGGTGATTTTAGTAAAGCTAAAGTAAGTATAAAAAAGATAGTTTAGTAAAAACCAAATGAATTAGTTATTTTTGCCTACAGGGCTTATTGTCTTGTAAATTATATTACTAATGCTTGCAAATATTCAATTTTCAATCTTAACATTTCATAGCACACTGACTGCTTAGCATGGTTAGAATTTCTAACTACCTAATTTGCTAATTAGAAGGCATATCAGTTAGAACATTGTGTGTTTGTGTTAACTAAAGAAGCAGGCTTGTTCACATTTTAATTTATATGCTTGCACCCCATTAAATATCTTTGTAAATTGTTTCACGTATCTATTCAAGCTGTTTAATTTTTGTAATTACCGGTAACTTTCTTTTAAATATTTTATCAGTCATTTTCAGGTGGTGGATACAGATTGGGTGACTCATCCCGGAAGCGCTCTGAATATATATATGGAGAAAATCAGAATGGGCAAGATGTAAGTAAAATGTTGAATAGCAGAAAATAGTGCTACACATCCTGCAATGTTTGAAGCCCAAGTTGTCAAGATAATGTTTTTATATAACAATAGTTTTGTTTATAATGAATAGCTATAGAGCCATGTAATGTACATTTTAAGAATAATTTCTTAAAGCCAAAGGGTCTACATGGACAAAAATACATAGATTATGAAGTGCAGAGCCTCTTCTGGTAGAGGAAAGAGGTGTTCGGCAAAGAAGTTGGCTGACTGGGTCCAGTGTTGTGAAAAGAAAGGGTTGTATTGCTGTGAGTGCTCTGTGACTCTAATATGAGTTGCAAAGTGCTCCTTTCGAATTAAACGCTTAATTTTGTGAGGAGGTGCCTACCATATTTAAAAGCTCTATAGGCATTAGTTGTGTTGATTCAGCCCTATTAAGCATCTCACAACAATTCATAACTTGCAATTTTGTGTGTTGTCTTTATTCCCTGTGAAATAGAAAACTGAGTGTCATTGATAATAAGCTACTGGAATACTCACTAGCTAGATAAGATCCTTCTAAAGTTGATATTGTGTAGGAAGAAAATAAATATTATATTTGACTAATTTTAAGTCCAGTTTAGGGTGAAGAGAAAACAACCAGAATGGTTATACTTTATAAACCTTTCTTTATAAAAGTGGCATCATAGTTTTCTGTGTTGTTATAGCTCAGTGATTTGTGTGTTAAGTTATAGTTGGCAAGATGTCTTTTCCTGCCAGCCTTGCATATTATTTGCACACTGAGAGTCAAACAGGGTTCTTTCCATATCATGCATCATCACCAATAATAAATGTTCTGACATCCAAATTGGGCCCTCACCTACACCTGTGAAAGTGCTGGGCTCAGTATGACAAATTGAGTAGAATAGAGTTGTTTCCTGATTGCCATTGTTTTCAGCAGACTTGGATAGGTGTGACTGATAGGAGCTTAATAAACAACTTTATTGATGCACAAGATGGAAAAAACATCAGCAGTAATTGAATCTTAGCTGAGCTTGGTCAGCAGTACTAACAGGAGTAAAGAACAGTAAAGCTTACTTTTGCCACCAAAGAGAGCAGACATGACTCTGAATATACACAGGGAATAGAATTGTGAACTAAAATGATGTCATTTTTATATAGTCACTTTTCAGAGTAAAACTACACTATAATATCAGTAAAACTAAATTAACACTAAAGTATCTTTCTCTCTCTGGTGCCCTTCAGGGTCCTGTGCTAGGTCATCTCCTCTTTGTCCTTTGTGCTCAAGATAGGTGAAATCATGTGGAGCTAACACCTCTATGCAAATTATTTTACAAGTCTAATTCTCTGCCTCTAATCTTCATCCCTCTGTCCACCTCTTCACTATGTTTGATATACTTACATGAATGTCCTCCTGTCATCTCAAACTCATTTCCTCCAACCCTGAACTTTTCTCCTAATCTATCTTCATTTTCTTTTCTTAACACCATTGTCAACTCCACTACTCTCCCATATTTGTAATCTTGGTGTTATCTTTGACTTCTCCTGCTCTTTCCGCACCATAACTAGTGTTAAGTTCTGTCACTTCTTCCTTTCTAAGGGCTTGTCTACATATAAACAAAGTGTGTGAATGAACAGCACACTAGCCTGTTGCACACACTAAATCCCTGTTTGGATCCTGCTACTTCACACCAACAGTTCTGTAGTGTGCTTTGACGCACTGTTGTTTGAAACAGGTTGTATAAAACAGCAGTAAATCAAAGCACACCACAGAACTTTTAGTGTACAGTAGCAGAGTCCTCGTGGCCTGCTAGTGTGCTCTACAGTCACACCCTGGATTTCTGCACAAGTCCTGTGTTTGCAAGCCCTAAAAAAACAAAATTCAACTATAGCCAGTGTTAAAACCTTGTCTATGCTTTTGTCGTATTCATCTTCCTTCCTGCAACCACTTCCTCTGTGGTCTTCGGAATTCTCACCTCTACCTCTCTCCCATCTATCCAAAATACCATTGCTAAAGTCATCTTTATCTGCATCTACTCTGCCTTTATAATTGTCCCCTTCAGCCTTTTGCTGGATTCTTTTCTTACTGCATCAGGTTTCTCATTCTTGCCTTTAAGATTCTGCACAATTTTGCCCTATCCTTATCTCTACTTTTCTTTCTTCCTATGCTCTTGCATGCTCCTTTTCTGCACTATAATCATCTCTCTCTGCTGCTCCCTCATTCTCCTTTTCCTACTCTATGCCTCATCTTTTATGCTTTTCCCAAGCTTGGGAGAAATCTCTTGCTGCTTCTTGTAAATCCAGACTTCCACATATTTCTTCTGTTAACCCTGAAATGTTCTCACCAATTTTCCCTGGGAGTAAGTCACACTCTCTCACCCAGATATTTTCCTGAATTTTTTCCTCATCTGTTTTAGAATGCAACCTCTTCTGGGCAGGAATGTCCTTTTATGTTTTGTAAAGCATTGTATAATTGTTTAGTGTTGTATAAATGCTTAAGTAATCGCATCTTGATTATTGCAACTTCCTTTCTCTCGCCTTGACAAATGCAGTCTTGCCCTGCTTATTTCCACCAAGAATGCTTCTGCAAAGATCATTTTCCTAGCTCATCACTTCGACTATGTAACCTTTCTCTTTGTATCTCTTCACTGGCTTCCTTCTTCTCTATTGTATCAAATATAAACTACTTGTCTGCACTTTCAAGGCCTTTCATGACTATCCTCCTCCCTACCTGTCATCTCTCTATCATTGAAAGGTTGACTCCTACCTCCAATAAATCTATGATGCTAGTCTCAATCACCCACTTGTTACATTTGCAGACAAGTACTTTCATGCTTTCTCTCATGCTGCCCGTTGTGCCTTGGAGAAACTCCCTGTAAGCATGCACAAAACAAACTCATTATCCTATTTCGAATCCCTCTTTTAAAATTCTCCTTTGCCCTGAGGCCTACAGAAAATATGACAATGGTTAGGCTGCTGGATATGCTGAGAATACACATCATACATACCATGCTGACCAATATGTCTCATTGTTTCCTTGTACTCCCCGGTCAGTCTGTCTGTACCCATCTATTGTCTCTTAGCTTACACTTGGATTGTAAGGTCTTGGGGGCAGGCAGGGTCTGTATTTTTGTTCTGTGTTATACAGTGTCTATCACAGTGGGGTCCTAGTCCATGACTTGGGGCTCTGAGGTGTTACAATAAAAATAACAATGATAAAGCTAGTTATGGGAATTAGTAACTTTAACTCTTGCTTTATTCCACAAGCGATTAGAATAGTAGAAGTAATCTACAAGTTTGTGTGTGCTAGGTCAATTTTAAACAAAAACAGTATTCGCTATTTTGAAAGCAGTTGCATCACCTGTTAAGCCTAGTACACTATTGTTGGCATATATTTTCTGTGTACCTTGTATTTTATCTATTAGCTATGTCACTGATAAAAGTCAAGGCTTATTGTGAAGTACAAGGTTGCCAATCTGTCGGAGGTCTCAGTACCACTAAGTTTGTAATTTCAACTGTAGCAACAGTGCAAATGTTACTAGAAGTCAATATCACTTTTTGGGGTGAATCTAAAAATGACAGTCCAAAATCTCTCTACAAAAGCGAACACGTTTTTATTTCTTTTGCCTTCTATCTTATGTTTCTGTGTTTTGCTACAAAATGTGTTTTGTTTTAGATTCAGTACTCTAATGTTTGCCAATATGTACAAAGCTAACAAAAAAGATCAGCAGATAATTGCTTAGGAATTTTTTTGTTTAGTTTTTTATTATACTTTCTTTGCTCAATAGGTTCAAATTTTGCTTAAACTGTGGAGGAATGGTTTCAGTTTAGATGATGGAGAGTTGAGAACTTACACAGACCCAACAAATGCTCAGTTTCTTGAGTCTGTTAAAAGAGGGTAAGTTATAATGGTGGTTATTTTGCTGACTATATCAGAGCAGTCAGGTGGAGAGAAGGGAAATAGTAATAAAACAGTGATGAGTATTAAAAAAGTATATAACCTTTCTGCAGTGTAAAGCAACTGAGTACTGAAACATTAAATAATCCTTCTACCAGAAACAAGATTAGGCTGATTGATGTTCCTGCAGAGATACAGACAGTGTACAGTAACTCCTCGCTTAACGTAGTTATGTTCCTGAAAAATGCTACCTTAAGTGAAACGATGTTAAGCGAATCCAATTTCCCCATAAGAATTAATGTAAATGGGGGGGAGGGGGGAGTTAGGTTCTAGGGAAATTTTTTTCGTGAGATAAAAACTATATATATAATATAACTTATACTGTGTGTGTGTGTGTGTGTGTGTGTGTGTGTGTGTGTGTGTGTGTATATATATATTAAATTAAACTT